ACACACACAAGCTCTCACCTGGCAGCATTAACTTTTATTGGCACGGCACTACTACTGACCTACTTTATATAACACCAAGGAGGCTCAGCACACACACACACACGCGCACAAGCACACACACCTGCTGACGGGCCACACGCATAGGAAACACATACACAAACACATGGAGGAGGAGCGGAAAAGCCGAGCTCAGCGGGCGTACTTTGATCTATGGCCTGACTGCCAGGTATTTTCCTTTTCCCTCAACTTTTTCGCCAAAGCCCCCGCCATCCGCAGCTGTTCAACTTTTCGCTGAGAAGCAGCCAGTAATTTCTTTGCGTTGCTCGTTAATTAAATTAACACAGCACGTGGTCGCAGCGCAGAACAGAATAGAGGTAAACCAAACCCATCGGCAATTCAATATCATGTCCTCGTTGTAAAACCGCGTCTTCACAAGGCAAGAACGAATTATGTGCACGAAATTGCCTTCGGCGGCTTATTTCAGTTAGAGAAGAGCTGTGAAATGCAATTTATATCTTTCAAAATATATCAGATTGATTAAAACATTTTTTGTTACTTATATTTATTCGTATTTACATGTCTACCACGGTTCCTAAAGGTAACAGCCACCTATAATTCAATTATAAGTATTTTTTATGGCCACAACTGCACAGCATTTTTGATAACAATTCACATAGCTCATTTTATCTTATCGGAGGAGATTAAATGAACCGATACGTAGACCAAAGATGTTGATCATGATTCATTTCCATTTCTGATACAACTAATATAGGAATAAGTCACTCACAACACGCAGTTATTGAATAAGTCGGCACTAACTCATACATTTGTAAAATAAATCAATAAAGTGAATAGACCGAAAAGAAATTCCAGACATAATTCGATACAGGGATTTTAGTTTGTTTGCTATTACTGATGATCGGATAAATTCACTTTTTCATTACTGTAATCAAAACCTTTACATTCGACCCGAGTCGAAAAATTTGGAGATATTTGGAAAGACCATGAAAATAAGATAAGAATCGCAATAAGACGCCATGATTTGACTTACTTAACCCGAAGCACGATTAAAAGCTAAACGACAGCCCGCAAGGCGTACTGTAAATCAAACTTTATGGACCAGGACAAATATTATATTTCGCACAATTCCATCGATGAATATATATCACGGAGCCACCCACAAGAGCGGGTATGAGGAAACAATTTTAAATAATTCAAAGCCGCAGACGAGCAGCCTCCAGATGCCCAGGGGCATCAGAGTACGCACAGCAATGGAAGTGGCGTATCCTGTGGATACATGTGTATGGGATGGCATTGGATAATAGTGTCTTGCAGTCAAAGTGCGTGTATGCAAGGAATTATCAAGTGTTGTCAACACAGCACACACACGACGACTTCGGTCGTTTAAAGGACCTCCGGCTAGGAGCTTATGTAAAGTGAAAGTGTGCGCGGGCGTGTCATAAGTGCGGAATAGACCTTCAGCCAACCCAAAGCCATCCACAGCCACCCACTGGCACCCATAACCACCCACAGGCACCAACGTTCACTCCGCCAATCCTCCGGCCATCCAGTCAAACACTCTTGTTTGTGCGATTGTCTGTGCGACAATAAACGAACTTACACATGCGAGAAATGCGTTGGGCGAAGAAAACGACCGGAAAGGCATACATAAATAAGTTTCCGGACGAAGCCCACACCTCCCACGTCGCCATTTTCTTGGGCGGACATCCCCGCCGCCAGTTGGTGCAATAAACCCGAAATGGAAGCGGGCAGAGGCACTGCGAATGAGCCAATCTGCTTTCATATTTGAAAGACAGATGTGCGTTCGTACGGATTATAAGCGTATGACCATCTGACCATCTGTACCAAGCCCAGTTAAAGTGGTAAGGAAACTTTTCTGTAAGTGAGCGCAAAATATTTCTGAACATACCATTTCTCAAGTGTTCTATATCATATAGGGAAATCAATCATTGCAAATATGTTATATGTCTTAAGAGTTCCTTAAGAGGAAAAAAAACACAGGTTTATCAGATATTAAATGGGTTATGCAATTTTTATGGTACATCTGATGGTATTACGTAATGCCTAAATTCCAAAATGCCTTCAGCATACTCGTATTTGGACATAAAGCATTTTGTGTCATGGCGGTTAGCGCATTTTGTTTTCAGCTTGTTTATTGCTTCGCCAAAAAGATATTTCATTTTTATTCGGACCAGCACGTGATTCACATTCGCATTCAATATTCAAGAGTCCCAACAAATTACTTGAACCCTTTTCATGGCCCCTTGGATGGCCCAAAAGGCTTTAAGTCATTTGTCAAAAAGCGCAAAAACGGTGTTCAAGAAAACAAAGGCAGCCCGGTGTCACTTTCACACTTTCTTACTTTCTTACTTATGCAAATGTCCTCATCTCATTTGCGCAGCAGAGACAGCACAAACGGCTAAAAGAAGGATAAAACATATACAATATCAGAGGTCCTGCCCTGCGGCTGGGACTACCTACACATCGCCTGTCATCTTTTCGCACATTAGGCCTACTTTATTTCTTGGCCCTGCGTCTGATTAAATTACACACATTTTTGGACAAGGAGACAAGCGATGACAGGCCATTGAAGCGCAAACTTACATCAATCCTTGGGGGTAAGTAAAAATCAAGAACATGTTATGCTAACGAGCACCTGAAAAGCACGATTGCTAAATTCATTCAGATTTTATTGGTGGCAAGTAGGAAAAATAATGAACATACCATCTCAGATACAAGGCTTAAGGATAAAGGACCTATAATGTTCTTTCATTTAACTAGCTGAATTTTATGCTACCAATTTGCGTCAACTTTCCCGATAGTAACTTATAAAAGGAGAAGACAAAGAGAAAGTCTTCGAATCGGCCATCAGCGATGCACCAGAAACCAATGGCTCGAACATTTCCCCTAATTGCACCAGCCGCCGAATTTATGGCCCCAACTATTAAATTTTCCACAAAGAGCTCCTCCACTGCTGGTGTTTTATGACCAAGCTCGGCAAAAAAGTAGGAGAGAACAGGATATTTGCAAGGACATGTCTGCCAGGTTTACTAAAGGTAACAGCCAGCGTAGTAATTTATAAGAAATTCGATTAAAAGTATGTGTGGCCACAACTACACAGCATTATTGTTAACAATTCACATAGCTTATCTTATCTTATCTTATCTTATCGGAGAAGATTAAAAGAACCGATACGTAGACCAAATTGATATTATTAATTTGCGGAACTAGTTATAATAGAACTAATATAGGAATAAGTCAATCAAAACACGCAGTTATTAAAGAAGTAAACATTTTTTATAATGAGTAACTCATACATTTTTAAAATAAATCCATATTGTTGGTTTTCAATATTTGAGCAAATAAAAAAGAATTGTGAATATGACCAAAATGAAATTCCAGACCTAATTCGATACAGGGATTTAATATTGTTTGCTATCACTGATGATCGGATACATTCACTATTTCATTGTTGGAATCAAAACCTTTACATTCGACTCGATGTCGAAAAATTTCATTCGTGGACCTGTAGATGTGTTATTCTTAAATTTGAAGAGCTCTATTTCAACCGAATGAAATGCACTTCAGCTGAGAAAAGAACATTCTGGGATATATTTTTTACAGTTCTTGAAGAAAATACGTCACTCTCAAGCTGCATATTGCATTATATACCAAATGATGTGTACTACCCAGTTCATATGGAGATATTTGAAAAGACCATGAAATTTCTCGCTGAAAAGAAAAGTCTCAGCAACGTAACCCTTCAAATGATAAGTAATGAATTGCACATACAAGTTGAAAACTTAATCAGCGATCTTTGTTTTTAGATTATTCACCTGAACATCTGGAACATTTTCATAATTTGAAGAGTCTTAATATCTTTGTGCCCATGAGAGCTAATGAGCTGATGGAATGTGTGAAATCGAATCCGAAACTCACCAACTTGGCGATTACAAGCACTTCTATATTCGGTAGACTGGCGGATATAGGACCATACTGCGCAAATCTAGAAGAGCTGACGGTTCATATGAAACCGGAAATGAATGCCAACGAATACACTCCACTGGCCAAATTGCCGAAATTAAAGATTTTTGACATTTTCGGGCACCCACAAGAGGGTTCACTGAGTGCTCTATTTAGATCAATGGCACTGAATGAAACTGTTTTGCAACAATTTTCAATCCAGCAGGCAATGCTCGGAACAGAGGAAGTCGAGGAGTTGTCAAAAGTGCATGTAAACAGATTAATTTGCGAATTGAAGCCAAGTCGGTCAAGAGATACTCCTGCTTCACTTCAGTTGCCAAATATCAGCGCCATAAACTTGGGAATGGAACCCCTGGAACACAATAATCCCAACTATAACAGCATAGATATTATGTCTAATATGGGACACATTGGGCTTACAATTAAAAGAAAGTCGGACGAAGATGTGATATTAAGGTTACAGGACTGGCATTATATGTTAGAAGCCGGAACTGAGCCACTATGGTTCGAAAAACAAAATCTTCTGCAACAGATTCAAAAGCGAAATAATCCCAAATGCAGCGAAGCTGGAGCATCTTTTCTGTTGTTGGAAGCCCTGCAATCGCAGCTTCCAACTATTACAGAAAACCTACACCATTTAACTAAAATCAGAGGTCTGAAGGAGTTGGAGGTGAAAATCAAGCTTAATATAGAAGAAGAACTATGGAAATTTGTGGATTCTAACGATTTTGTTAGTTTTGATGATCTAGAAGGCGATATTGCGATTGATTCCGGTGTTCAAAATATTTGTATTCTTGTCCAGCTCACATATCTCAAAGACATCTTGGGCATTTCTAAGTATGCGAATATAAAGAACAGTCTTGCTGTACAAAATTACAGGTTTGAACTCGATTTTGATATTCGGCTTTAGCGATTCTGTAGCTATTTCCCTGAGAAACTTTTCAATATTTGCTGGTAGCTCAAAATAAAAAGTAAACTACACCTAAATAAAATTGATATGTTTGTGTGATATTTTTGAAAAGCTATGACAAGTTTTCATATTCGATTGATCTCTGACAAAAAAGTGGTCCTCGTGGACGCTTCACATCACGAGTCGGAGATTTTTGTACCACAGATGCACCAAACTGGCATCGTGCTGTGGAACATAATACGGAATCGTCGGCCGAATCCAAAGCTCGAGTTTTGTGACGAGTCGACCCATGGTCAAGACAATGGTCAGGTCGTCCAGCGCCCACAGATGCAGGCACGGATTACAACGGCGACGGCTGGTCTGGCACCCTGGGCGGCGTCCATCGATGGCGGTGCATTCAGAAGAGTTGCGGACGAAGGTGTGCGGTGTCCACAGTTTTCCCTCAAGCTCATCTCAAATGGCAGCGTGGTGCTCGTGGAATGTAATGTCCACGAATCGGAGATATTTCTACCGCAGGTTTGCGGTCAGTACATAACCATGAAACGCATCACCGCCCATGAACTTGTACTGCCATCCAAACCGAAGATGCCTGCCATCCAACCAGCTAAAACCGACTGTCTACGAGTTCAAGCGACCCGCTTCTTCTCGAAAACTACCAACTTGGATATTCAGGCAAGAAAACGTAGAAAGCGCAAAAGTCAGGAGCAAACCAATCACTCTGGAGCTGGGGATCAACCGAAGTCGAAGTCCCTGAAACGATAGCAATCTTGAATCGAAACTCCTTGTCTAAATTATATTACTTTATGTGTATGTCAGTCGAAAATAAATTGGTTCCAATTACCATGCACCTGTGGGCGAATCCAAATTAGGAATACACTTACTTTAAGGTAATAGAAGTACTGATAAGTGATCTATCCGCCTGATGGCGCCAGTCAAAACAAAGCTTCATACTTTCGAATCAGCTGATAAAGCTTTATTTTTCCCAAACAAACAATCATTGCCATAGGTCAGTTCCAAATATACCCCGCAAAACTGGTTGTCTGGCCAATTGCTGATTAGTACGTATCTAAGCTGCGGGAAAATAACAATATTACTCATAACATAAAGTTGCGACGTGTCTTGGGGTTGGGAATGTTAGAATGGGAATTTTTATTTCAGTTTTGTTTCCACTGCTTTCGATATGGGTCTCGCAATAGAAGAGCTCTACGACGACTGTCTGTACCATATATTTGAACTTTTACCCACTTCAGATCGCATTATTTTCGCCCAAGTGTGTCATAGATTTCGTCAGCTTTTTATAAATCAATGTGCTGGTAAATACCGTGTGTATACCCTCGATAAAGACAGTTCAAGACTGGAGCTGATACAATTTTGTATTTGTCGCGAGACAGTCGAGTCCTTGACCATTGATCTGGATCACTTTGATACGGCCAGATGTTATAGAACCTATGGATGTGTAGCGCCCGAAAACTGTTTTCGAATTCTATGCCAGAGTTTGGCCGGAATGATTAGGCTAGAGTATTTGGTAGTCAAGCAGGAATCGATGCTAATTACACCCGTTGAAAAGCCCTTCGATCAAATATTGACTGCCGTCAGGCATTTACCGCAGCTCAGAAGGTTGGAAATTCGTGCTAGAGACGGTAAGTACAAATATTACTTTCAAATGGGACCAATTTTTCAAACAACTAATTTTCTAACTATATAGACTGCAGCCTAGACCGTCTAAGTCAACTTTGCCATCTCGAGCACCTGCAGATCCTCGTCCCAAAAATGTTACTCGCAACTCTGGCGAAATGTTGCAAGTCCTGTGGCAATCTTCGCAGCCTTCATCTCGGCTATGCCTGCATTCAGAAGAATTTGAGCTACATAGTGCCGCACTGCAAGAACTTGGAGCGCCTCAAGTTCGGCATGCCCGCGAATTCTTCAGAGTATTTGCAACTGGCTAGGCTACCCAAGCTCCGGGAACTATCGTACTGTGGTATTCGCAGAAGCGGCTCCTTTGAACCACTTCTTTCAGCTCTGGCTGCCAAATCACAGTTGACACACCTGTCCATCGACGGAGGAAGTCTTACTCTGCAGGAGACCTGCCAACTGGTCCGCATCCAGAGCTTAAGGTACTTCAAGGGCTTCTACTCAACGACTGACTGTGTGGAGATGCTGGGTTGTCTTGCCAATCTGGAGGAGCTCTGCCTCAGGATGTTCTGCCCAACGGATGTTTCCAATAATCTCCTGCCAATCATTGCAAAATGCAAAGATCTAAAACTGCTTCGAATTGCAGGGGGCAATGTCAATACAAACTCCCTTAAGGATGCTATAAGCCTTAGAAAATCTGAACCAGTGGTCTTAGTAGTAGAAAAATAGATCACAAAGTTGTAGATACACTACATTTTCATTTAGTAAATATTACATGCCTTTGTGGCACTTACTTAGACTGCAACTAAGCAATTTTACAGCACTTTGAGTAGGTGAAATTTGTAACTTTCACGAATTTGCGATTAAGAAGTGCACTCTAAGTGCTTGAAATTGCTAGCATTATAAGTTGCAATCTGGCACTATTCAGGACAACACATGTATACCCTGGGCTGAGCCTAATTTTGTCAAGATCTAGAACACTTTGCCGCTCAAAGAACTTTAAAAGTATGTCGCAAATTTCGCATACTCAAGTGCCAAAGCAAGAATATGATATGAGTATCTCAAAAATAGTTGCGCAAGTTGTTCGCCCTTCTGGGAGAACGATGAAAAATGCACTTTGTAATTCTCGTAGCTCGTCAGTGTGGCACATGCAACGTCGCCCATTCGTCGCCCGGCACTTATAAATGTCACATTAGAGTCTTATTTTCGTGGAGAGGGGAGGCGGTGCGGCGGGGAGGGTGTTGGTGTTGGTGTTGGACGGAAAAGGGGACCAGCTCGTTATACTTCCGCCCCCCTCAGGCGAGAATGGGCGTGGTTCTGCCTGAATTTGTGCTTTCTGTTGCCGTAATATGAATTTATATTCCAGTCACATACACATTATTCGTGAGATTTCGTGTTCGGAAACTGGCAACACTTGACCCAAAGAACTGGCTAATGTGCACTTTTTTGGAGTTCACTGTGATCTGCTGAGTTTTTTCGATCTACAAAAGGTATTCAGTAATTTGAGAGCTTATTTAAATATTATTTATTTAAAAATGTTTGTGATACGTACTCTGTTTCACTCAATATTTAAGCAGGTAATCTATATATTTTGATCCCATTAAATCCTATTACAATTAGAAAATTTGTATCACACTAAGAAATGGGACCCTTTCATTGGAGCACTTATCGGTCCAATAAAGTTATCTTAATGGGAAGTTTGATTTCTATGTTTAAAATAAGAATCAATGCATGCATCTCCAACGGCAAGATTAAATATCCATCTCGAGTTCGCGTAAATAATTCAACTGTTGCTTTCACCCTTTTCAGTGAAATATCCATATCCCTGCCATCAGTTAAACCCTTTTTGTTTGCTGTCTCCTGACAGAGCATTTAACGAGAGCGGGCCATAAATCTTTCCTGGCCAGCAGTCGCCACCTATAGACTGTGCCAAATAGATTGAAATACATTTTCGCTTTTATGTTTCTGGGCTTGCCGGATTCAGGATTCAGGACGCAGGATTTTTTATTTTACAAGGACTTCATTGAGAATTAAAGTCTGCTCCAGAGGGGATTTGGCGCTATCAGAAGTCCTTGTCTGGCCGGCAATTTGTCAGCCGGGCGATAATCTGGCGAAGTGAGGAAGTGAATGGTGAAGTCCCAGACATTGTAGGCGCTATGCTCGCATATACAATGCGTGCTCCTTAAAGTGCTCTAATGACCGACATTGTGGGGTGTTTGTTGGGCACAACAACCGGAGGTTTCACTTCCTATATCCGTGCCTCGAGATTGCGCCGACAAACGTATCCATTCCAATTCTCCTCCGTGAGCCCTTCAATTCAATTGATTTCCAGCAGCAAAAGCGATAAAATTGGAGGGCGCAGCACCGTAACCACACCCCAAATAGAATTATATATTGTTTGCTTATATGTGGCTTGGCCTACAATAAGCACCCATTCGCATTGTTGCGTGGAGATTTATCATTGATTGCACTTGTACGGACGCCTTGAGGCCGTGAAGTTTACACTTCAAGTGTCTCGGGCAAATGCTTTTCCTGTTTTGTCACTTCGGAAACCCAAAAGCCCACACAGCCCCATTCCTCCAATCAAAATGTGCCCAGTTCATTGAACTGAAAAGTGTAAATCATTTGGGCTGGCTTTAAAGTTCCTTTTTGTGCCCACTGAATTATCAGATGAATGGCATTTTATTGGCGCACATTTTTGGGTTAATCCGATTGCCAGCAACAAACAAATCAATTACATGTATTTGATTAATTTTCCGCTATTAACTGGATTGTGCAAACAGGTTTAATAATTCATGAAATTTAATCAATTATAATTTACACTCGAAGAATTGAGCCGGAATTTCACTGCTGTGTTCAAATTGAAATCTAATGTGCATGACAACTATTTTTCTGTTTTCCACTGCTACCACTAACTATTTGGCTGTAAAATTCTACAAACAACATTTTTGAGATTCTAAATAGAAGAACTTTTTATGTAGGACCTTAAATACGAGATAAATAAAGGCTTCTATGCGAAATACTCATGCTTGAGTTCTAATTCTAGGTTTACTTGAGGTTTACTTTCAAGCTATCACAAAATTTAATATATAGCCCCTTGTGAAGTTGAAGTTGAGGAGCTTCGTCATTTCTCTGATTCAAATGCAGATTACCTAGAGCCCTCAAGCCCTAAACTTATCCACTGGCAGGAGCACAGCTATGAAACTGAATGATAACAATTTGGTTTGCATGGCAAAGTCGTTGCGAAGCCAAAAGCGGTTGTTACCTCTTCGTTGCTCGTTTCGACGTCTTGCAGCACGCTTGCTCGCTCTTGGTAATCTTTTTACCGCATTTTTGTGGCCCACATGGCTGCAGAATGTGGACTGCATCCCGCAACCGCACACCAACATGCCAATTGTGGCCAAGACGGCGGGCCTTTTGGGCGGGCCAGAAAGATGATAAAAGCGCAGCAACGAATGCTCCTCGAACACGGAAGCACAACTGAGTGTTAACCCATTTGGCTGGCACTTGCTGTTGCTCTGCGGCTTGTTAAATATTTTAACAACCAAGTTTTACACCGTTTTTTAGAGGCTGTTCCTCGAGCCACTTGATTGCCCGCAATCATTTCACCTGTACATTGGCCCTTTGCCCATTTGTAAGTAAACATATAGAACTGACAATAAAACAATGCTTTTTGTTAGGAATTTGGCAAATAAGGTCTTGAAGTATTCACAAATCTGGAAATTCCGTTGCCATTGCGTAATTATAGCCACTCTTTAAGCAAACGCATAAACTTTCATGTGACTTCACACTTCCGAGGACAATGGCAAACCCTTTGAACTCACCTGGCGACGACAGCAAAATAAGGACGAAATTGTCGTTGCTTTTTACGGTTAGGGTTATGAAATGTTCTTAGATGTTCTTATGTGTGCATAAATATTCGCACACATTCAAATGGAGGCTGAGAGCCTGGCTGGGGCGCCCCTCCCTCACCCTCTCTGTGTGTGGGCTGGCATCTAATGGTTTTATGCCTTTATGTCAGAAACCAATTTATTTGCCCATCCCCTTCCGGTTCCTGCTCCACTTCCTGATCCTCTGGCGTCTTTCGGTCGAGTGGACCAACCTTTAAAGTCAAGTCATAAACAGTGGAATAATAGAATATTTGGAGTAGGGAGCTCAGTGCCTTCAACCATCGTGGGTCCTGTGGTGGGAAATCGAAGTGCGGAGTATGTGCCACTCAAAAATTAATATATGAATTTATAATATTGAATTCCGCACTATTTAGCTTGAGTAGGCAGGAACTATAATTTAGTTTGGCCAACTACTAGTAACAACATAATATTGCTTCTAGAGAACAAGATTGTAAGAAGAACAAAGTACAATTATAAAGGTCCTCTGACTAAAAGGACAAAGTGGGTCACTTCGAATTTGATTCAATAAGCAAAGCCAGTGCAAAGGTAGTGCTCCAATTTGGCGCAATTGTGTCTGTGGTTCTGGTCTTGTAATCGGTATGGAAATTAGATCTCGGGTTGACCAGTTAGTGGTGGGCGACCAGCTAACAAGTTTCGGATTCTGATTATGGAGAGGACAGGGCCCAGTCCCATTAATCAAACACCTCAATCAGGGACTGCCTGGCCGCACTTCAGCAGTACTCAAAATTGAATTTCGCAACCACAACGGTGTTGGTAGATGCGGATGCGGATGCGGATACGGCTGGGATTTGGTTTTTGGTGACCGGAGGGGATGGAGACGTTGATGACCTCATTAGCTTCAAGTTGCGGATGATGACTTGTTGCAAAGGACCCTGACTTGGCCCTATTCCACTCAGTTGCAGTTGCAGTTGCAGTCGCCGAGTGGAGGAACCCATCCACGGCAAGCCACACACTTTAGCCTACTTAACGACTTTGTTAGCCATAAATTCCGCTGGCCAACAATAAGGATATTGGATGTCAACGTCGTCTTGTCTTGCTCGGAACATTCTCCACTGTAATTTCCAGTAAAATGAAACGAAATTTCCTCTTCCACGCTGCGCTTTTCATTCTACATTCCGTGCATTCTACAATTTTCATATTTTCCTCTTATTTCATTTGAATTGTGTGCACGTATTTTATTCACTTCAGCTTGTTGTTTCGCTTTTTATGCAAGGCCAAAATGGAAACTGGTCAAAGTCAACGAAGTTGTTGCTCAAATTGAGGATACCTAAAGCCAATTTAAGCACGGACTTTGTATAAATATAGTCTTTAAAAAATGCAAGAAGTATACAAGTATATGCAATAAATCAGCAAAATTGAATGGCATTTATTTCTATTTGAATTAATCTGACATAAACATAGCCGCCCATCATCGCTTTTCGATTAAAGACACACGGATCCCAAACAAGGGCGGTCAAAGGATCTTCAATTTTCAATACAAATCAAATCGTTTACAGCTTCCTGTGGGTCCTGTAGGTCTTGTAGGTCCTGCAGGACCTGCAGGTCCTGTGTTCCCATTTCCAATCCCATTGGCCCTTGCGCACATGCAAATAAAGCCGAAAGGCAGGGGAACATTTTCATTGTTTGTTTATTTTCATATGCCCCTGCATGCGTGGCGAAGGATTTGCTGTAAGTTCGGGTCAGGACGTTGCTCAATCTATATGTATATGCAAGTATAGGGTGTGTATGTATATAGTTTATCGCCAGGACGGAAGGAAGCAGGACCCACAGCGGGAAATAAATTCAGGCGGTAGCAGGAAATTATTTATATTATGTTTTTTATGTATTCTGTACTGTTTTTTTTTATCATTTCATTTGATACATTTCAGTTGGTTTTATAATACGTTTTTTTTTCTTTTTTGTGCTTGCTTGCCAAATATTTAATATGCATTTTAATCAAAATAAAAAAGAAACCCACTGGAACTGGCCTCCAACGAAGAGGTGGCAATATTAAAATATTAAAATACACACAGACGCCGAGCGAAAACCCAAATATAAATTATAATTTCCGCTGGCGGCCGCAGAACACAACATATCCTTCTGCCAGCAATGACATAAAAAAGAATCTCGACAACATCTGCGCGAAGTGCGTTCAATTATTCGACTTTTTTCGGTTGCTCGGTTGGTGCTGCTCCTTTTAGCCGCTGACCTCACAATTTGGTCCATGGACCAGATAAACTTTCATCAAGTCTGCGAAAGAAACAAGACAAACAACAACAAAGCAATTTGTTGTATTCCTCGTTTTTGTAACCAATTTGAAGGGAAATGTTATGGCCACTAAGGAAAGTCGTCGGGACTTTGGACATTGTATTGCACTCCATTTCATGTCCTTAAGCGGTATACGATTGCTACAAGTGTTTTGCAGCTAGCCAAACGGAAGAAAAGCATTTCATTTCCAGGGAATGTGAGCCAAGTTGGAAGTTTTATTGTTTCTCGTAGGGAGAATTCATTTGCATGGAAATCAGTTTTTAATTGGTAACTTTTTTTACGTTTTTCGTTGATTTTCCATTTATTTTCGCCCAACAGATTATGAAAACTTTTGTTGTATGAGTTTTTACAAATTCGTTTTATTCTATGTTCGAGAATTTCCTTTAATTATATTCATATTTTTATATGATCTCATTTTTTGCTGAAATGTGCCCTCTTTCTTGTTATTATTGCATATTATATCAAGTCTAGCAAATATATTATATGCTTTTATTAAGCCCTCAGGCATGCGATATCTCTCATAAATTCTCCGCCTCCTTTTCTCGAAACCCCAACCAGAAATTTCCAAACTCTATGTGCCCCATTCGATGATTACTGTCCACCAGTCTGTGAGGGATACTTGAGCAAATATTGCTTACCGCACAAGCTGGCATAAAAACATAATTTCGGCATGCCCCTTTCCGAATACACCGGCACCGACCTAAGCGAGCGGAAAACGGAAAATCGGAAAAACGGAAAAGCGCTGAGGAGCTGGTGGAGGAGTGCAGAAGTGGAAAGGTGGAGAGGGGGAAAGTGCGCTTCAAATCAGCAAATGGAAATGTATCGAAAGCACTGAATGGAGGGGGCAAATATTCATGATAATGCCAAGGACACAGCTCCACGCCGGGAAATGCCATGAAAAAGCCAGCGGAAAATTTAAGAAAATTCTTCACGACAGCCATTTTATGTGCGTTTCGTTGTTTTGTATTCCTGTGTGTGTGTGCGTGGCCCAGAAGAAAAAGGATTAAATCAATGTTGTGGAACAAATTGTGTTTTGTGAACGGCATGAAGGTAATGCAGCCGAGCCGTATTTGATATGCCCATTTCTTCCAGCGATTTTGCGCCCTCGCCAACAAGGCAATCGCATAACGAGGGTATGGCATTTCCCGATTCGAGACCCCAACGTGGGCGTGGCCCCGCCCCCGACATGACCACACACGATGTCCCATTTGATTTTGATGGCGTGAAGCCCACACGAGCGTTAATAATCTGAACACACACATACGAAAATGGCACAGATGGTTGTTAAAAGAATGGGCAAGGACGACTCCTTCATGGAAATTAACTTGTTAGGTTAACAAAAGACGTGTTCTTAAAGATTTGTTTAAGTTCGCTGAGCTAAATTGAAGATATATGGAAATTTAATTTCAGACATTTTAAAAATGTTCCGTAAATGTATTTTTTGGTATTGTAAAGGCCTAGGCCGAAACTATTTTGTATACAAATTTATATCTGGTAAGATCGTTTTCAAGAGGTGGCACATTTGCTAGACACTAAATCTTAAATCCTAAAATAACCTGAGTAATATGAATTGATTTTTGTTATTGCCAAGCCGCAGTTGTGTCACACAACCCACTCGGACTTTATTGCACTCACTGAAACGTATGGGTAATCGAACCGCCACCGCCCACATCTAAGTGAGCAGCTCATCCACCTCGAGAAGGGGGCGTGGCAAATGTCCGACAGCCCGGGCCAAATCCGCCACCGAACAGGCATACAAATAGCCCTTCTTCAGGTTACCCTTCGCGTTGCTTTTGTGCAGCCAGCTGAGCCACTGCACCTGTTCCTCCACAGGATCGCAGATGATATAGGACTCGTGGATCTGGGCCAGAGTGGCATGTGGGTTGTTGACACCCACCAAAGCGATTCCGCGGGTCGGATGGCCCACGTCGATGATGACGCGATAGAAGAGCTGGGGCACAGGCATCACACCTGTGTTATCGGCATTGGTGGTCAGGTGGAGGACTTTGCTGCCGGCCACCTTCATTTCGCCATAGATGCCCGTATACACATTGGCCGTGATGCCCGAACGGGCCACAAATTTTCTAGTGGAATCCTCCAGGTCGGCCCACTGGCCGCCATTGAAGCTCTGCCACTGGGGCGCCACGTTCATGTAGTTGAAGCTGCTCCTCTGCTGACTGGCATAGATTAGATCCGCTTTGGCCGTCAGATGTCCGCGGGACAGGAACAGACCACTCTTCACGTCAATGAGGCCGGGCACCATCAGTTTCTCCTGGTTCTTTTGCGAATAAATTTCGAACATGTCAAAGCCCGTGAAATGGCCGGCGGTGCTAAACTTCTGGCGTTTAACTTTTTTCTGGAAGTGCACACTCGCCGGTGTCAGTTGATGGTTGGCGTAGTGGGTGCGCAGGTGATTCGGGTCATGGCACAGCTCCATGGTGGCCACAAATCTGCCATCTCCGGTGTCATAGCCCACGCGATACAAGTTCGAGGTGGATGGACTCGTAGTGTTGCTGCCACAACTCCTGTTCAATCGCTCCACGGTGTACGGCATGGAGTGACTGCAGACAAAGTCGCTGAATTGGATTTTAGCCCCCATCCACTCGAAGGTGGTGTCCTGCACACACTTTACCCGAATGGAGCGCAGCTTCGCATCCAAGGACTCTCCATTCGCGGGCGCGAAAGGATTGCTGCAGTGCAGCTCGATGCTGGCGCCGTGGTCAACCTCTAGGTGGCCATCAGGATTGGGCAGCCAGTAGAGATTCGTGCCAGGGTGCAGGTACAGCGGCTGCACTTGGTCGTAACGAGGCAGATCCTCTTGCACATTCACTTTGCAGGGAGCACCTGATATGGGAAGATAGGCGTGCTAAGATGTGGGCAAAAATTATTGGCATACTTTTAGGCGCTGATATAAAAATGCTACATTTTTAACACAATAATATTATTATATGTATATAACAATTATAATAAATATTATAATATATATCAGAACTATAATATAATATTATAATATATATAGGAACTATATTGTATACATATATAGGAACTATAACATTAAAATATATATAAGAACTTTAATATATTATAATATATACACGAACTTTAATATATTATAATATATTATATACAATGAATTTAATATAATATTGTAATCTTTATGTACGATTTCATAAACCTTTTTAAATAATAAAATAAAACTTTTAGTTTTTAGCCCTTTGGTGTTAGTTGTTTTTACTTGATTTTAGTTTGTTGAAACAGGTGATATTTTTTTTTGCAAATAAGTTTCGGTGGTTTTTGTTGTTTCAATATTTACTTTTCTAATACAGTCTACTACACCTACAGTCAAACTGCTACTACTACAAACTTAGCGCCATCTCGCCTTTGGATAAATGTATTGTTATTAACTTTTGCCCGTTCAGTTACCTTGCTTAAATGTTGCTCCATCAATGTGCAGACCATCGAGATCTTTGATTATTTGGCCCACATCTGGAATGGGGACAACCGCCTCACGTGCCCGACTCTCTCTCAAAATCACGATCGTCAAAATCAGACCGATAAACTGAAGCTTCATTTTGTTGGCAGCTCGACCGGTGAGGGTGCTACCTAACCACCGACTGAATAATTTGCTTGGTGAACAGCTGCTTTTATATTCTCAGATTGTTGCTCAAAGATTCCGCTTCTCTTTCTCTTTCTCTCTCTCTCTTTCTCTCTCTCTCTCTCATTCTCTCTCTCTCTCTCTCTCTCTCTCTGTCTCTCTCACTCTCTCTCTCTCTCTCTCTCTCTCTCTCTCTCTCTCTCTATCGCTCTATCTCTCTGACTCTCTGACTCTCTTTCTCTCTCTCTCTATATATCTCTCGGTCTCTCTCTCTCTTTCTCTCCCTCTCTTTCTCTTCGGAAAGCCTTCTCTTCTCGCACACTAGGCTGTTTCTTTGCTTCTTTGTTTATATATCGCCGAGAATAAAGATAATATTATTGGCATTTTCTTGCGAATATTTGTATTGTTCGAGTAAAAGTGCTTCCGATTTGTTTCTTTAGGCTTATACATATGTAAGATCACGAATTCAGGTCTAGGTCCTACAAAGACCTTTACATTTGGTGATCCGCTATTTTTATAACCCTAAAATGAAAAGTCATAGAGCTCTCGGAATTATTGTGTTCTCAACTTGCTACTTACAATTCCATAAGATAAATAGTCAATTAATTTTGATATTTGCTTACTCAATAATCGAACAAATTTTTTGTTGAATAACCTATGGCTTACGATCAAAGTACAATGTATTCATACCTGGAACGCTTCACGTATCATTTAGTTAGTCATATTCAAAAATGCAAAACGATAGTTTTAGCGTACATTAATTGAAATTTACATTTAGCGTTTTAGACTATTTGCCTAGCCGTATGAGTTGTAATCGTTGTAATTGTTATTATTGCCAGCATTGTTATTGTTATTGTTATTGTTATTATTGTTATTATAGTCGTAGTCGGGCCGCGCTGTAGTGTAAGTGTTGTAGGGATTGTAATTGTTATAGGTGGGATAAGCCCCATTTGCTCCGTAATATGGATTGGAGTTTAGGCCCGCACCCGTGGCCGCCCCAATGCCCATTGGCAGGATTATCAAGGGCTCCACAATAACGCTGGTGCCACCCATAGCTCCACCTCCCTGGGGCATCATTGGCATCATGGGCATGGGTCTGAGCATCGCTTGTCCCATGTACTGTTGTCCCATGTACTGTTGTCCCATGTATGGTTGTCCCATGTACGGCTGTCCCATGTACTGTTGTCCCATGTAGGAGGGATAATACGCCCGCCCCGGAACTGGTACATTCATGGGAACAGGACCGGGATACGGCATCGATCCTGGCATTGGCATTGGTCCTGGCATGGGACGCATGGGAATCTGTCGTGCCGATCGATTGTGGAATTGTGGGAGTGTGGCCTCAGAATCTAATTCGAGATCATTTATCGTTTCCCCCTGAGAAGCTGCCAAAAATAATAGCAATTAATGTGGGCAACAGCGAATTTGAAGGTGGTGAAATAATGGTAGAAAGGACTGCGTCTGGTATAAAACTTTATAACTTTGGTTTTAAAACAGTATTAAAGATCTTAGGAAGCAGAATAAAACTGCATAACTATAGCAGTACTAAAAGGGTAAGTTAATATTGTAATTATTGCTGCAATAACCGGGTAGATACGGATTGTAAAATGATGAAGGGTAGTTCCCAGCTGAACGGCCATAACATTTCATGTACGTTGGATAGGACATCCCTACGGAGAAGTAGAGCCCAGGATGGCCCCAGTTGGGCTGTCCTTGCAGGGCGAACTGCCTGTTGGCCTGGTATTGAATCGCGTATTGCGGGTTGGGCTGAGGTGGAATAGCGTATTGTGGTGCAGCTTGACGCGGCTGCTGCATTGGAAACGGTGGACGAGGTGGTGGATAGCCAGGTGGCATTGGAGGTGGCATCCCCACGGGCTGATAAGACATTTGCGGCGTTCGCCGGAAGCGGTGCAAAACTGGTGAAGATATAGAAACGCAAACAAAAATTATAGAAGATCCTATCTAAAGCTCCTGGGCTTTTAGCCAGCTACTGTGAGGTAGATTAAATAGTTATTAGTTGATGAGGGATTAGCTGATCTAGCCAGGGGATAGCCATATTGACCATATGCACTTGACCGCACTCTGGGATAGCAGTTATAGTAGCAGGGCGGAGTGGGAGGAACTAGTTGTGGCACACTGGCCGATCGCTGCTGCGGATATGAAGGTAATCCCGCTCCAGAATTCGGGAAACCAGGATAGGTGCAGGAATATGGGTAGAGGGGACTGACGGTACAGGGAGGACTTTGTCCTCGATTCAGCCAGGGATTTGGCTGTTGAGATTGTTGGGAACCATCTTGTACAATAACCAGAACATTGGCCTGCCGTTGCCCTGCATGCGTGGCCAATATATCGGTGTTAGCGAAACCGGTCAGCAGTTCGAAGTCATTATCCCCATTATTCCGATTGAGATTCGTGGAGGTGCTGGGTATGATGATGTTGTTTTGGGTGTTGGCAGTGGTCTGTGTAGTGTCGATGGTGAAATCGCTGGCCGTCTGATCTGAAACGGATCAGTTAAAAGAGCCAGATTTCAGTGTGAATGAAGATGGGAAACAATCTCACACGAACCTGATTGGCACTCCGGATAGGTGCCACATTGCTCTCCTTTTTGCTGATCTGGGCTTTCGCAGGGAACTCTGGATACAATGCATTTCTGACCCGATATACAGTCTATATCATTACAATTGAGACCAAATTCTGTATTGGTAGTGGTGAATTTTGTAGAATTATTCCCTTGTCCTGTTTCACTGACTTACTCCTGTATCCTTGGACTACAACTGTTGTGGCTAGTATTAAATATAATCCAAAAAGATCCATTTTCTCTTGTAAAATTTCGAAACAAACTAAGCTTTTGAGCCCCAAATCCGTCATATTTATATCATTCGAATATTCATGCTTGATGAGTTGCGATAATGATTATTCGCAAAATTAAATCCCCGAAATATAACCATTAATGTTCTGACTCATTCTCACACGGATCAAATTGCATAAAACAGCTCTATTTGAAACTTTTGCTATGGCTATTGAAATAATATACATTACATTAAAATTTACACGATTAATAAGTTACTGAGTTAATATTTAAGCGGGACTACGAGTAACGGCTATAATTATATATATATATATTAAACGGTCTTTGAACTAATCAAAGTTCAAGGCATATACTATAAGCATTGCCTAACAAAATAATTTACACATCCAACCTTGATAGAAATTACTGATTAATTGAAACGAAGTTTGATAGTCATATTACATTGTTGAATCCGCAACAATCCTAAGTGAATGATTACTCGACAAATGTAATCAAGACATGCATGTTGGTTTCTATCTGCCTCGTTTTTGGCTTTTACCTTATGTTAACCCCCTGAAAAGTCCATTATAATCATTAACCAAGCAGGAGTATGCTTTATACGATTGTGTTACGATAAGATAAACAAAAGAAACCGCTCAAGTAGTACAAGGTATTTCCTTAGCGTCAAAAGGTAATATGAAAGTCACTGCCATGGGGACTTCGATTTGGGCCAAGGGACCGCCTTTTGGGCCACTGGAGCAGCAGAAAAAATGAAGGCTTTGGAAAACGTGCGGCACGTGAGCAAATAGTCCAATGGCAGGGTAAATAAATAGCTATAGCCCGGCCATAAACGATAACGCCAAGCATTTGATAACCTTACTCTTATCAATATCTCCAACATGCAATAAAATCCAAAGAGAACAAAAGTGAAACGTGATTTCTGTGCTTTATGGCCCATGAGAACTGAATTTAAACGTGCCTTTAAGCATTTGCCCAGCGGTTTCCTTTACATAAAAATCCAGTTTGCTATTACATATTTTTTTATTGGTTTTAAATTAAGAAATTCGTTATTTTTCGCCTTTGTACACCCACATAATGTCTTAAGCACCAAGGACTCCTTCGACGTGCAGATCTTCTAAAGGTAGGTCTTTCACTACAGCAGTAAAGTCCTCCACAGTACAGGCATATGAATAGCCCTTCTTTAGGTCCTCTTTGGTCCAACTGACCCAACTCAGTTGGGCGCCAATGTCCTGGCAGATAATGTACTCCTTTTCGATTTGCTCTATGGTGGCATGCGGATTGTTTACTCCAAGTAGAACAATGCCCTTTCTGCTCTCGCGATCGATAATCACGCGGAAGTACAACTTGGGCACTGGAATCAGACCATTGTTGTTCTCATCAAAGTCCAAATAGAGCTCCCTTTCAACGCCATTCACATCCGGCAGGGTGGACACACCCCATGTGCCCGTATAGCAATCCACTGTGATATTTTCATCGGCCACAAATTTTCTCGCACTATCCTCAATTCGTTCCCAGTTGCCGCCATTGAAGGTCTGCCACTGAGGTGCCACATTCACAAAGAAAAATGTCGCCTGTTGAGCGGCTCCAAAGACAAAGTCGGTCTTGGCAGAAAGGTGACCCCGAGCCAGGTAGACATTGCCACTGATGTTGAAGTAGGGTGAGGCATCCATGCCCAGAATCTCGGAAACCGTGATATTCTGCCGAACTTGGGTGTACAAAGTGTTCACATCCTTGCCGCCGTAAAAGTCGCCAGGTATAAAGCTTGGTCTGGATACAGATCGCTGGTATTGGTCACTCCCGGGGTACAAGACATGATGCACATAGCGTGTGACCTCGCTCAGTTCATGGTGACACACGTCATAGGTCTGCAGGAAGTCATCACTCGAGGAGGACGACAGCTGGAATCCCACTTCAAGCAGATCGGTGCCACCATTGCAAGGACGACCAGAGCGACGAGCCGTGTATGTTGGCCAGGATGTGCAGACAAAGTCCTGCAGCTGGTACAAACTGCCCATTGTGAGGAAACTCTGCTGTTGCCAGCATGTTGCATTCACGAAGGTATAACCAGAGAAAAGTCCACTGAAGGACTTGATGCAGTGAAACTCTAGGGCCTCTCCATGTTTTAACTGAACTATTCCCTCATGATTCGGTTCCAAATATCTCGCATAACCCAATTCACTCCTGACTACAAACAGAGGAGCCGGATCTTT